TTTCGTCAAAAAAAGATGGCGGCGCCCAGTTGATGCCGGTACCGGGCCGCAGCGTCAAAAAGGTTGGGGATTACTGGTATATAGTATTCACAGTCAGAATAGGTGTAACCATCACCAATTGCATAGTTCTAGTCCAGGGGTGTCAAATTCAATTTCATTGAAGGCCCCATCAGAGCTGTTGTTGACCTCGGGAGGAACGGGCAGGTGTGGCCAACTGGGTGGGTGCGGTCAATGTGGTAGGCGTGGCCAACTTGACGCCATTCCCCAAACTGCTGACATGTTTCCTCTTCACATTGAGTAGACCAGGCCGAAGCCATGCTGGCCTGATCTTTCCTCTTCGCATTGGGTAGACCAGGACAGCGCCGGAGGCTGATCACATTGCAGGCCAGATCTGGCCTGCAGGCCTTGAGTTTGACACCCCTGTTCTAGTTCTTTATTTGTTGAGCAAACACAAAATGTAAAGATGAAAAACAAAAGAAGAAAGGGGTATTGGGAGGGATAGAGGGATCTATCATGCCTTTTTAACGCCCTATTTTTGCAAATGCTTCTTTCCCTAGATCAAGATGATTTTTCTCATTCTCTTGAAATTTTGGGCCTTAACTGAGGAAATTCTGTCTATCCAAAGTCGATAAATATATGACTTGAGAGATGGAAGATTTGATAATGGCAGGAGGCTCCATGATTAGGATGTCAACAAGCTGACTACGTAGGTTCTCTTAGGCAATTTTGGAGCTGTCAGTATAAGCTCCATTCGTCAATTTTTTGCAGGCTTCAGAATCTGGGAGGTTAGTGGACACTATATAGAGTGATATGTTTTTGGGACAAGAGGCACTGACAACATTTCATACTTCTGCTCCTTGGGTTCAGAATCATGAGATGAATTGTGAGAAGGTCCACTACTGCTCTCTTGAAGACCAAAGAGTGTGTGTTTGAAACAATATTCACTAAAGTCCAGATCTTCAAGGCTGAGCCAATATTTTGCCAACTTCTGAATCACAGCAATGATACATTTTCCGTTCCTTGGTTCTATGTAGGACTTTGTTTCCTTCTTCATCAGCTATCTTAATCTAGTTCCTCCCTTTCTCCTGATATAGGCTTTGATGGTCCTGCTAAATTACACTACCCCATTTGCAACTCAGGGGTTATCCTCAGGGTACCTGTGCCCGGCTCCAGTTTCTGCATCAGCTGTGACCCTTCCTAGATCACGACTCCCTTCTTACTCAAACTCTATTCATCTCTCAAATGAACTACTGCAAAATGCTCTACAATGGAGCTACCCTTGGAATCCATTTGGAAGTTTTAAGCTTTTTCAAGCGTGGCAGCAAGATACATCTTTGTGGGCCCTAGAATGTCCCATATTAAGTCCTGCTGGAAGTCCATCCCACTCATACAAACAGACAGGGCCTATTGTGAACTCCAACTATTGGGATTGAGAAGAAGGACCTTCTCTTCTGTTGTGCTCTCCCTTTGGAACATCTACCCCACAAGGAGAGAGAGCTGCCTCCACCTCCGTATCATTCCATAAGAGCCTGAAGACCTGGCCCTGCTAATTGGCCTGGGTCCCCAATGGGGGAGGTGGCTACTAGATTGATAGCAAGTCCCACTTCCTCCCTTGCTGCCTGCTTCCCCACATGCCCAGCTTCTATTCTCACATCACTATCTTGTTGTTTTCTTCTTTATTCTATTGTTCCATTACTTTACAACTGTTATGTTTAAACTTCTTTTCATTTCTGTTTTATTGCTTTATGTTGCAAGCTACCTTGAGTAACTTCCCCACGGCAAGACAGGCAGCAAATAAATTTAACAAATAATATTAGGAAGATATGTTGCCTTTTAGAAGAGACTGGAATCTGAGCTAGTCATATTGTTTGTCATAACAAGAAACATGTGACAGCCTTGAATTTCTTCCCACTAGGCTACTCAAGAGTATGACCATCACTTCTTCAGCCTGGTGTATCTGATGAGTTTGACCAAATGAGAGATCCATAATGTCTCTCTCCATAACTTTAAATAAAGCTGTGAGGAACTGTCACTTGAGGGAACTCCTCAACTTTTTCTTTCTTTTTTTAACATATTTATTTTCTTTTGTCAACAAAAATAAAACAGAAAATAGAAAATCGAACATCCAATACTAAGAACGAAAAGAAAAAAAAACTTGTGTACAAAAAAAAGAAAAAAAATCCCAAATGTCAAATAGATCTAACATTAAACATAACAAATCTACCCTGAATAGATGCTGAAAAATAAAAGAAACCTATCACGTTCTCCTCCCCTTACAAAACAGCTCTACAAATAGTTATAAACTTTCCCGTCTATATTTTAAATGCTATATTAAATAAATAAATATCTTAGATGTGGAAATCTATCAGTCTAATAATCAAATCAACCCAACATCTAATAATGATATATATGTAAAAGAAAAGAAAAAAAACATTGAACAGGTTAGCCCAAACTTTACACTAATCTGGAATTCCTCACTTTTTCTAGGAGTGTCAGGATTTTGGAGATTGGACTATTGGATTCCTGGCAGGGAAGAGACACATCTATTGGTAGAGTCAGGGGCAAAATCATGCACAGGGTATTAATATTATCCACTCAATCCAAACAATCCTCTGGCTTGGAGATTAATGAGAATCGTAAGACTTGGGTGCCTGCTGTGAACAACTGATAGAACTAATGCCTGGATGGTCTCCTGCAGTGGTGGGATTCAATTTTTTTTCCTACCGGTTCTGTGGGCGTGGCAGGGGAAGGATACTGTAAAATCTCCATTCCCTCCCCACTCTAGGGGAAGGATACTGCAAAGTCCCATTCCCTCCCCATCCCAATAACCTGCTTTCCAGCTCTGTTCTCCTGTGCAGGGCAACAAAAGGAGACCCAGCCAATCAGCTGGGACTCGGGAGGCAGAGAATAGATGGGGGCAGGGCCAGTCAGAGGTGGTATTTGTCGGTTCTCCGAACTACTCAAAATTTCAACTATTGGTTCTCCAGAACTGGTTAGAACCTGCTGAATATCACCTCTGGTCTCCTGTCTCTCCTTTGGAAAGAGAATAAGTCTGGTGCCAATATACTTTGGCAGTGCAAGAAGGATGTTCTTCTTTCCATTGATTAGGAAGCCCAGATTCTGATCAAGGTCCTGCCAGCAGTCACTGCTTAGTCAAGGAGAATCAGATAAGAATATGAGTGCATTTGATGCAATATGCAATGGGCTAGGGCAGTCAAAATTATGAAAATGTATGACAGGCTCAGTGGCTTCAATTGATACCAGGTGCCATGGTATTTGCATCTCAGGAACTTCTTTATCGGGAGGATAAATTGAAATGTGTAGGTAAATTTATTATATGTCCATGATCAACTACATAATTAAGCCTGTGTTAGAGTACATTCATTAACTGGCAGAGACATGGTTAACAAAATAAGCATGGCAAAAGACCAGCCAATGGGAGCTGACAGCCTAGGTGTGGTTTGGCTCTGTGTGCTTTGCTGAGAATTGAAAGGGAAACTAACTTGCTTGCTGAAACTTGAGTTCTGCTCTGAGCTGCTGCTTGTGCTTTTACTTATGTTATGTTGAAAGAATTTACAAATGGCATTGTAAACTTTACTCATGTTAATATGTTTATAAAGAAGTTAATGATTCTTCTGAATCAGTCTGTGTTTCTTGGAAGTGAATTTATGCTGCAAACTCTAACAGCCTGCAACTATCTAAGGCAGGAGTGTCAAACTCAATTTTATTGAGGGCCGCATCAGGGTTGTGGTGGACCTCGGGAGGGCCGGGCGGGGTGTGCCTGTGGCTGTGGTGGGAGTGGCCAGTTTAATGTCACTCATGTCGGGGAACACCTGTGGTGGCCTGAGCGGGGTTGTAGAGGGGGGGAAACCTTCCTTCCTTCGCCCTTTTCTTCATTTTCCTTCCCTCTTCCCTCTCCTTTCTTTCTTCTTCCTTCCCCTCTTTCCTTCTTTTTTCTTCCTTGCTCTCTTCCCCTCTTTCCTTCTTTTTCTTTGTCTTTCCTCTTTCCCCTTCTCCTTTCCTGTCCCTTCTTGGATGCTCAAATGCAAAAGGGGAAACATTTCTTGATGCCTCCTTGCCTTCTGACAAAATGCCACTTTTGCTAGTAATTTGTGGCCACTTATAAGACTGGAAACAAACCAGGAAGTTTATCCCCTGCTTGCGTTTAGTGGGGGCGCCCACAGACAACAGCACAGCAAAACTGTCAAAATGGTGACTACGATAGCTGATCAGAGCTTCTCTGCTTTTTATGTACAGCAGCTTTAGCGTTTAGGAACAGAGCTAAGTTAGTTGCTTTTCCATTAATACAGGCTCTTCTATTAAAAGGACTCTCCTCCTTCATGGTCTAATTCAGAGGTCCCCAACCTTTTTGGCACCAGGGACTGGTTTCATGGAAGACAATTTTTCTATGGACATGTGTGTGTGTGTGTGTGTGTGTGTGTGTGTGTGAGAGAGAGAGAGAGAGAGAGAGAGAGAGAGAGACTGTGACTGAAACAAGCGTACAGTTTTGAAAGAGGGACAGACAGAAGTGGTAAATTAAATAGTGGGTGAGCCATGCACAGAGTAAAATAAGTGTGGGATTGTTACTTAAGGCCTGCCACCAGATGATTTTGCTCCAGTCCAGAGAAAAATCAGAATAAATACACAGGGGAGATTTCACTAGAAAGGACTTTCTTTTGCTCCAGGGGAAAATCAGAATAAAGACATGGAAAAGTCTATAAAAGGAAGAGGCTTTTTTGTTCTGCTCCGGAAGAAAATTAGAAGACATAGAGAAATCTGCAGTGGGAGAGGCTCTTTGTTTCTGCTTCAGAAGAAACCCCAAATCAAAGACCTGGCAAAGCAGAAAGAGGGTGAATGACCACCACCTGCACTTTTCAATGGTTCAGCACAGTGTTTCCCTTCCAGATTAGACCCGTGAGTTTCTGATTCTAAGAAAGTGGGAAGGAAGATGGGGAAGAAGATTCGATTCTAAGCCTTCCAGCAAAACAAATAGAAGCCCAGCAATCTTGGAAAAGGTGCAGATGAGAGGAATTCCCTTGGAGACTCAGTGCTTGCTTAAGAGAGGAAATAGCAACAGCAGTAGCACTTAGACTTATATACCACTTTATAGTGCTTTACAGCCCTCTCTGAGTGGTTTACAGAGTCAGCATATTGCCCCCAACAAACTGGGTCCTCATTTTATCGATCTTGGAAGGATGAGTCAACCTTGAGCCTGATGAGATTCGACTTGCCAAATTTCTAGGCAGCCAGCAGTCAGCAGAAGTAGCCTGCAGTACTGCACCCTAACCACTGCGCCACTTTGGCTCATATCACCATGGAAAAGTAGCTTTTCCCCTCCCTCCTCCCCCATTCCAAGCTGGGTTGGAGCAGGCTTGGTTTGGCTTGCAAACTTGGAGAGCTGCACAAAGAAAGGAGCTTGAGCCTTGTTGGGGTGCCAGGAGAGGGAGAGGAAGAAAGTGAGGGAAAAGAGGAGGAAGAAGAGACAGCAGGAGGAAGTGCTGAGGAAACAATTTAAAAAACCAAGAGAGAACAAACCAACTCGGCATAGCACAATGCTTCTTTGCAAACAAACCTGAAGCATGCAGTTGCCTCAGCTTGCAAAGGTTTGGAGCAAGCAGTGAAAGGTCTAAGCACACACACATCATATACACACATCAAACCAAACCACCAAAAAACAGGCAGGGTGTTGCCAAAACACATGAGGCATTCTCAACCATGAAAACAAAAGCGAACAACTCTAGTTGAAATGCAAGAGCCCAGCAGTCTGGGAAAATGTGCAGAGAGAGGGATTCCCTTGGAGACACAGCGATTAAGGTGCATCCAAGAAAAAGATGTATAAACACACACACACACACACACACAAACACACACACACACACATACCTTCGGAGGGTTCCCCTCCAATGAAAGTTGGGGAAAGCTCCCCCCTCCCTCCAGTTTCAAGTTGGGTTGCTGCATGCTTGTCTTGCAAACTTGGAAAGGTGCGCGAAGAGAACGTCAGCCCAGTTGGGGTGCCAGGAGAGGGACAGGAGGAAAGTGGAGAAGAAGAGGAGGAAGAAGAGTTAGCAGGAGGAAGAGAAAGCAGGAGGAAAAGGAAGCAGGAACAGGAAGAGGAGGCAGAAGCAAACATAGCAGGAGGAGCAGGAGGAAGGACATGCAACTCAGGTGTTGCAAGCCAGTTGCAAGCACAGCTGCTAGAATACCTTTGCACTGGGCAAGAGGGCTTCACATGTACTGACCTTACTGCTTGAGGGCATGAACAAAGCCTCCAGCTGAACGAAGCCCTTGCACCTACGTCCAGCCTGCCAGAGCTTGATGCGCCACGGGAGGAATGAGACCCCATGGTCCCTGCCTGTGTGCAAGTGGGATATTTGCATGCAAATGGGGAGCTATCTTTGAGGGCAATCCCACTGCTGCACTTCAGCTTTCTTCAGGTTGGATAGAGTGAGCACCCAAGCTGCTGGTGGCGGTGGCGGCAGGAAGCCACCTCAGCAGCTATAATCCCCAGCCAGCTAGCCCCGCCTGACATCCTCTCTGCCTGGCCGGCTGGCTGGCACAAATCTTCATTGGTTTTCTCCTCCTACTCTCTGCTCAAGCGGTGGTGGGTTCCATGGGACAACAAGTCTCATTCTTCCCCTGGCATGGCAAGCTCTGGTGGGCTAAACGTGGGTGTGAGGGCTTCACTCAGTTGAAGGCTTTGTTCCTGCCCTTAAACAGTAAACACGCGAGCGAGCAGCCCCCCTAAGCCACGGATGGCATTGGTTCCTGTGGCTGGGCCTTAGATCCAGCTTCCCGTACAGCTGCCCTGGAGCCAGTGAGAGACTGCACTGCTGTATCGGCCCCGGCCCCTAGGCATGCGCCTAGGAGGCAGTGAGTGCATGCGCGCTAGCGTCCTGGGTGAAAGAGAAGCACTCAGAACTTAGCCTGCAAGGCAAGACGATCCGCAGGGATGGTAGGCCCGGTGCGCATTCACCTCCTGGGCACGAGCAAGAGTGGCACTGGATTTAACACTGGCCACGTTGCAGATTGGTGCCTGGTTGGCTTGGGCTGGGCCGCTGTGGGCCAGTCCTTTGCTATTTCCGGGGCAGCCTCATGGGCGGGATCTAACCACCTCCGACCCACGGGCCTTGACACCCCTGATCTAAGGTGTGTTTCTCTTCCCTAAAGTGCAGGATGGTGAGCCCTTCCTTATTACTAAGAATTATAATATGCCTTATGTATTTGGAAATTAATGGCCAGGTGGGATCAACTTGATTGCCTATACTGTATTGTCTATAAACTGATGGATTTACTAGATAGACGAAACACATTAGGCTCTGCTTAAAAATAAAGTCCTAATTGGAGATCAAAATTACAATACTCAGTGAATCCCTCTACTCACCTGTCGATAAAGGTCCAGATCAGTCTTATTGCCAACAAGGACCATAGGGAACTCATCACGGTCTTTCACTCGAAGTATCTGAGTGTGGAATTTGTGGATTTCATTGAAACTATGGCAAATAAATGGGAGTAAAACAAAGAAGGATTTCCCTTAATGTGCTTTTCCTATAAATACTAATGAAGAATTCCCTCCTGTTGCTTCTAAAAGAAGAAGAAAAAATCACTACACCAATATTAAGACCACTACAAGTTTTTCTTACATTTCAGGAAACTTTCTGGGGAACATTCTAACATAAAAGGTCTGTTTGAGCTTCCTGGCCATTTTGAAATTCATATATTTCTCGTGTAGCGATTTAGCAACAATGGCTTTCTAAACCTTTTGGTTCTTTTTAACTATGTAAAAAGGCATGAATATATTGAACTCACACAATATCCTAAAGCAAAGAGACCACATGCTTAGCATAATGCACCGGCCAGGCATTTTAAAGCTTATTGGGTCTAGCACTATTATTATTTTTTTGTAATTGCTTTAATAGCAGCTTCAGCAAGTATAAACACGACTAATTGTAATTTAAACTATCAAAGGTATTTTTTCTCCAAATAACCCCAGCGTTGCCAATTTTTAAAGCACCTAATACAGGAGGGAAAAGCCAGGAAACACTTTTGAAACGTTTACATCTCAGCCTGCCTTTCTTTGGCCCATTAGACTGAACAATCTGCATGCCGTAAGCAACAGAAGATCTTTTTGCACTTTTGATAAAAACACTGAGCAAAGGTGGGGTGTGTGTGTGTGAGAGAGAGAGAAAAACATGACCTCGAATATCTCCAAAGTCTCACCGAACCAATGGCACACAGCCCTAATGAAGAAAAGGTTTTTACTCCGTATAAATGCTTCGGCTGTGATCTCACCTGCCCCGGTCATTGACAGCATAAACAAGGAGGAAACCTTCTCCTGTTCGCATGTATTGTTCACGCATAGCCCCAAACTCTTCCTGACCAGCCGTGTCCAGAACTGATAAGTAAAAATTGAGAAGGAAAGAAAACAGATTAGATCCCAGTCAATCGGAGTATGAAACATGTGGAAAAAGAGATGAGAGCGTTTAGTGTGGTGGTATGGAACTATGTGCCCTCCAGTTGCCCTGAACTACAACTCCACAAGACTCAGACAAGGCAGCCAAGAGAGTAAATACATTAAAATGTACACAGAACACCGGGGTTGCCTGTTCCCATTCCAGATGTTATGGCATGCTTCAGTAAAAAGCTTTCTGACACAACCACTTGCTTTGATAGCATTTCATGAGCCTCCACTTCACAGAAATGTACCAACATTCCTCTGATATTTTTGGAATGTTGGTACATAAAAGTGGACCACGGTGCATTAAAAGAATAACTCGCTGACTTTCCTTACAGCTGCTGACACCTGTAGGGAAAATATTTTGTTGGGCTGGGAGGTACTCAAGTCAAGTTTCAGCAACAGATTCAACTAAAGTTCCAGTAGCTAAAAAGTGCTATATTCCCCCCCATTGTCAACATTCAGTTTTTGTTGTAGGTTTTAAACAGAGAAAGCTTTATTTTAAAAAAGAAAATACAAGGAGGCTACACCCACTATCTTCCACACACTATCCTCATCACCGATTCAGGTGCAGACCCTCCATGCCCCTGCTTTCCTATTTATTTTATGGTCTTCTACAAACAATAAGTCCCCCCAATAATATATCCGCATAGATTAATCTTACTTTTAATTGGATGGCAAGTTCAAGAATGATTTGTTGTAAATTTGTAGCAGTAAGAATTCTGCAAACAGGCCTGATTTGAATAAGGCTCAGCTTCACAACATCTGGTTCCTGATACCCATTTGTTTACTTAGGTCTTCTCCAAACTGATATCCCTCAAATGTCTTAGACGCATAACCAATCAATTGCTGGCTGGGAATAGCAGAAATTACAGTCCAGCTTTGGGTTACACTGATTTATGTACGGACCGCTGTAAGTTACAACAGCACTGAAAAGGGTGATTTCTGACCGTTTTTCCACACTTACGATGTTGCATAATCCACATGGTTATGTGATCAAAATTCAGACACTTGAAAACTGGTTCATGTTTATGACTGTTGCAGTGTCCCAGGATCATGTAATCTCACCTTTTGTGACCTTCTGGCAAGCAAAATCAATGGGGAGGTTAGATTAACATTTGTGGAAAGAAAGGTTATAAAATGGGGCAAAATTCAATTAACAAATTCTCACTTGGCAATGTAAATTTTGGGGTTATTATGGTCGTATCTTGAGAACTACTTATACATTCGTTTGCACAGAGCATGCAAAAGATCTCTCTAGAATAAGATTCCACTGATACTTACTGTCCAGGCGGGTTGAGATACCATCAATATTGCAGATTTTTGTGTACGAGTCCTCAATTGTGGGGTCATAGTCAGAAACAAAGTAAGACTGCAACAAAGCAAAGAAAGACAGACTTTCAAGGGTTTTATGGATGACAGAAATAACCGGGAATCCGTTTTAAAATTTTGCTCATGAAAAAAAATTAATATCCCTGGCATAAGCTTTTACTCAACCCTCTGCTGTCAGCTCCCTGCATCCTGCTGAGGAATTCCATCTAAAAGTTGCTACTTTTGAAAAGCTCTGTTTTAGATGGAGGGCCAATTTGGTGTAATGGTTAGTGTGCTGGCCTGGAATTCAGGAGCCCCTGAGTTCTAGGCCTCCCTTAAGCATGAAAGCCAGCTAGGTGACTTTGGGATAGTTGCTTTCATCCAGCCCGACCCACCTCACAGGGTTGTTGTTGTGGGGAAAAATAGGAGGCAGGATAAAAGTATCACCATAATGATGGTAATATCAGACGGCTATCACTGCTTATCATGTGACAGACAAATACTATATCCTCTTTGAGTTCAAAAGGTGATTTTCTTTTCTTAGAGGCATTATGGAAGAAGTTTGCCCTTACCTCCTTCTCGGTCCTAGGATGTTCTATTTCTCAATTCAGTTTATACTCCCAGGGTTTCCTTGTAGTCTCTCACCCAAGTTTCACCAGATCTGATCCCAACTAGCTAGTCAAATTCATCTAAGTTTTTATTAACTCTTAAATCATAAGTAGGGTGACTAAAATGTCAGAAAACTATAATGAAAGGAAAATACTGCCTTGGACCATCTTATGTACCTCCAAATAAACCTATTTTGCTTCTCTGCAACACTGAATGCAAGCAACAGAGAGGTGATTCAGACCCCCTTTTACATCGCTGTAATTTCATCACTGTGATCTTTCCTTTGCCAAATGCAGCTGCCTGTTGAAGGTGAAAAGAATTAGCAAAATGGAGATGATCTACTGCAACATTCCCAACCTGGATGAGAAATTGCATCACTCTCACAATACACCTCAAAAGATGGAATTGTAGCTGCAGGCATCTGAAAGGCACCAAGCTAGAGGCAGTCAATTTTTTAAAAGTATATACTGGTGTCATGTTTTTCTGAGATATTTATTCCTAAATAGGCATAGTTGGTAGCCAACGTTGCTCAAATAAGACAATAAACTTATGTACATTTAAGTTGGAAAAATTCCAGTCATTTCAGCAGAACTTATACACACATTTACAGCAATGGACAAAGTCCTGGGATAACTTTCATTTTTCCACTCAGCAGGAAAACATACGGCAAAGTTTGTTTAGCTATGAGCTGAGGCCATCCTACCCAACCCTACCCTTCGGCGCTTTTTCCGAGTTACCTGGATGAACTGAATAGTTAGGGCGCTCTTGCCTACGCCGCCTCCACCGACCACTACCAGCTTGTATTTCTCCAGTGGCGCCGCACCTTCGCTGGGATTCATCCTGCTTGGCAAAAGTTGTTCGCTTCCTTATAGGTGAGGGAATCGCACCAAAGCACTCAAAAGCCTCCCCGTTCAGTCGCAGCAGTCATCCTCCGAACCCCTCAAAATATGGCAGAGATAGATCCAGGGTGGGCCCTCTAAGGAGCGAGGCTCGGCGATTGCTGGCAGTCCGCTTCCCTATTTGGCCAGCGGGAGCCGCTACGGGGAGGTCCCATGTCCGGAACAAGATCGTCCGGGCCAGTGCTCCTTCCCCGCCCTGAGGTGAACCAGTCGGGAGCGGGCTGGGGGGAGGGCTGAGCTCAGCGCGCACCCCGCGCGCTGCCCAAGATGCTGTGTTTCTGTGATGGGCGCGAAGCTCAGTGGAAGGTATGGAGGAGGCTACGTTGGAGAGGCCTGAGATGATGGAATCAGAATGGACGTAGTTTACACAGTGCAACACTTTCCTCTTGAAGTGGCATCCCGATTCCCAGCAAAACACGAGGCCTGCGTAAGAGCCTCTGAACGAGGGAGCTGCCCTTCTTAAACCAGACCCAGAGGCGCCCACGTGGCGTCTCTACGGCGGTATTACACGACACATCCGGATAGAACCCTTGTTTCAGTCAGATTACCACAAATTGCTGCGTTCCCATGACAGATTGTGTTACAAATTAACCACGGTGTCTGCGTTCACACAAACACACAAAGGCAAAAAGAAAAAGGGGGGGAAAGCAGCTAACCAAGTTGGGTTGAACGCAACTTCTGACTTTCTCGACTACAACACGTTCACTTTCGCCGGCGGAACCTCCCAAGTTCTTCGCGGTGAAGTATTTGCGGCCACATATAGCCGCAGAAATAGAGTTCTGACATGCAAAACCCCCCCCCCCCAAAAAACAGCCTTTTGGACCGAGGAAGAATTTTCGGGGTAAGATAGGAGGTGGATAAAACTTGGTCCTTTTTAAGTGAATGGAAAGTTCTGAGGCGTGGGACCAAAAATGTTAAGTCGAAACCGGTTTGCAACCGGGAGTTTAAGAAGAGCGGAGGTTCGGACTCGCTCTGAAAGGTATTCAGAGTGAAAGGGTGAATAATCGGCGAAATATAGGACCCAGCGCTTGACTCGGCCAGGGTGGAGCGGAGTATGAGTTCACCACTACATTCCTTTCATGAATTATGGAGGAAGTTGAGGCACCAGCCCGTGCCTTGGATTGTGAAGGAGCGCCGTGACCTGTACAAAGTTGGGGAATTTAAGATTAACTGTGATTTATTGCACCTGTTTCTGCAATGGTACAAAGGCCCGCACAATAATTAATTAGCAAGTTGCCAAAGCAGGCCGTTTGCTCCCTATGCAGAACCTAAAATCCAAGAGAGGAAAACTCTTATTTAAACTGTAGGAAGCTAGCACCCATCCCTCTCCTAGAAAAATGAAATATCCTAGGAAATATTAAAAAGGCAGAATATTTCTCCTAAAAAGAGTAGAAACTCTGAAGCAGAAACTCACCCCCACCTTTGTTAATAGGTGTGCTATTAAAGCCTGGGCCAGAATATTTTACATAACAAAGATCTTCAGGTAGAGCTATAGGAATTGCCTAAAGCCCTTTATCATCATCATCCAGCAAGGCTCAAGCAAGCCTGGAACTCAGGTGAAGCCATGGGGTCCAGACAAAGCCTACAAACAGACAAAGCTAAGACCCCTGCCCCCTGGGAGTTTGACAGCCAATGGGATACATTTCTTGCACAGGAACAGGAAACACTAAGGTGGCGCCCAACAGAGGGTCTCTCAGCATATCAGGGTCTCTCAGCATCTCAGCCCTTCACCTTGAAGCATGTGATTGTACTTTTCACTTTGGAGCTCCAACCCATGTGGTCCTATCCACCATTGAACCATCTTTCCAGACAGCCTCCATGTTTCCAGTGTCTTTTTCCCCACTTGGAACTGAACCCAGAAGGATAATTTTTCCAACAAAACTATTAACAGAGTTGGAAGGCACCTTTTAGGTCATCTAGTCCAGTGGTTGCCAACTAGTGATCTGCAAGAAAATTTTGGTGGTCCACAGAGAAATGTCAATGGGGACTTCAATGTCTTCAATGGGGACAAGTCTTCAATGAGGAACTAAGACTACATTCTTTGGCCACATTTACCAGATTTTCTTATTTATAGGCACAGGATCAGACATGATCCAGATATGAGTAAACAAAGAATGAAGAGAGTAATATTAAATGTGCAAATAATGGAAACTTCCAGTCATGTATCTTCCAGTCATCTCTATCTTATCTTGCTTAACAGCCTTGCACATCTACTTGGAATGTACACTGCAGAATTTTGCATGAAGATCTTGGGATTAATTTGTAAAGCGTGTAGCCTCCTGTTGTTTTTAAATGCAATTCCCAGGAGAGGAATGTTGGTAATGGTGTTTGGTTATGTTTGGTGGGTTATAGGTCATCTTAGCAAGATGTCTTAATGGAATGATACAGATGGTTATCACAGGTGAAGCTAGGGAGAATCATATCTGATACCTGTACAATTAGCCCAGGGCACCCGCAAGGCTGTGTGCTTTCTCCCCTTCTCTTCTCCCTATATACATGGTGGCTAACCTTTTTGGGCTCCTGTGACAAAAATTGCAAGTGCGCCAGCGCGCCCACACTCACATGCCAGCACCCAGAATGCAATGGGTACCCCCTCCCCATGCCCCCTGCGCATGTGCTCGCAATCCCCCACCCCGACTCCCTTACCTGCACTGTGCCTCACAGATGATTTTTTGGCTGGTTTGAGGCCTTTTTCAGTTCCCAGAAGCTTGGGAAAAGCCTCTGCAAGGTTTCTCAGACTGAATTATAGGCCCGTTTTGTCACTTCTGGTGTTAGAGGAAGTGATGAAACGGGCCTATAATTCAGTCTGAGAAGCCTTGCAGAGGCTTTTTCCAAGCCTCTGGGAGTCTGAAAAAGGCCTCAAACCAACGGAAAACAAACAAACAGCTGTGATGCGTGTACATGCGCAGTAAGATAAGTTTGCCTGCGGCTCGTGTGCCAGCACAAGAGGCATAGGCTTGTGTGCCAGCACGCGTGCCATAGGTTGTCCATCATGGCTATAAACCAATGATTGCATCTCCAACGATCCATCCATTAAAATACTGAAGTTTGCAGATGATACAACAGTGATTGGTCTTATTCAAGACAACGATGAATCTGCATAGAGACGGGAGGTTGTACAACTTGCCTCATGGTGTAACCAGAACAATCTGGAACACGCTCAAAACCATAGAAATGGTGGTAGACTTTAGGAGAAACCTACCCATACTACCACCTCTTACAATCCTAGACAACACAGTATCAACAGTAGAGACCTTCAAATTTCTAGGTTCTACTATATCACAAGACCTAAAATGGACACCTAACATCAAAAATGTCATCACAAGGAATTTGTCTTGGTGCAAATGCTTTCAGTGTACATAAAATATCTTATATGTACCCATTTCATGTATTCACAACTATGTATACACTTATACTTATTATCTTGTAAACAATTGGCAAATCAAATAAATAAATAAATAAATAAATAAATAAAATAAAAGAAAAGATACATTCGTCAAGAATCAAGAATCATCAGGTACTATACTTAATGATAGTCATAGGGTACAATAAGCAATCAAATCATAGTAGGAAATCTTAAGGATACAAGTGATAAAGTTACATTTATACAGTCACAAGTGGGAGAGGATGGGTGATAAGGAGTGATGAGAAGATTAATAGTAATAGTAATGCAGACTTTGTGAATAGTTGGACGGTGTTGAGGGAATTATTTGTTTAGCAGAGTGATGGCATTCAGGGAAAAACTGTCCTTGTGTCTAGTTGTTCCATTTGGTCATTAAAAGCATTTTCCACTATCCCAGATGTCCAATGGATCATCCAACAATTTCTTTTCTGAATTTCCTAAGCCTACCAGTTGGACCAATAATGTGTGCAATTTTGTTTAGATTGAGTGGGATGAACACAGATCATGCTGTCTAAAAAAAGGGGAGGTGAATAAAGTGTAATCATTGACCATATTAAACCCATTGTGTGAATATTTATCCTTATGGTTTATGCTATGTGTGAAGATTTATCTGTTGCATGTATATAGTCCTCATGCTACTTTACAAAGTATGGTAACACCATCCTTCCACATGCTGCATTTGAGTTATATGATTAATTCATGCTCATTCTTTGCATCGGACCTCATGCAAGAAGAAACTATAGCCCAACCTACCATAAACATAATTGTAAAAGACAGACTAGAAATAAAAGTTTCGAAGCAAAAAAAATAGTAAGAGAACACCTGTCTGATGAACACAAATCACCAGGGCCTGATGGATTACATCCCAGAGTTCTAAAGGAGCTGGCAGATGTCATCTCAGAACCACTGTACCACATCTTTCAAAAATCCTGGAGCACCAGGGAATACTGGAGGACTGGAAAAGAGCTGATATGGTTCCCATGTTTAAAAAAGGAAAATAAACAGACCCAGGAAACTACAGACCAATCAGCCTAACATCAATATCCAGGAAGATATTGGAAAAGATAATAAAAAAACATACACACACAAAAAAAAACACCTGCCAACATCTAGAAACGAGTAAAGAAATAACTAGCAGTCAGCATGGGTTTGTTAAAAGCAGATACAGATAGTTATAATAATACAGATAATCAGAGTTGGAAGGGACCTTGTAGATCATCTAGCCCAAGCGGGAGACCCTACATCATTTCTGACAAATGGAAGTCCAATCTCTTCTTGAAAGTCTCAACTGATGGCGCTCCCACAACTTCTGAGGGCAAGCTGTTCCATTGGTTGATTGTTCTCACTGTCAGAAAGTTTCTCCTTGTTTCCAGGTTAAATCTCTCCTTGTTCAGTTTCCATCCATTATTCCTTGTCTGGCCTACAGGAGCTTTAGAAAATAGCTTGACCCCTTCCTCCCTGTGGCAGTCCCAGATCATGCCAAACCAATCTTATTTCATTCTTCAACATAGTGACTAAATTAGTAGACCAGCAAAATACGGTGGACATAACATACTTAGACTTCAGCAAGGCATTCAACAAAGTAGGCCATAACCTACTTGTTGGTAAGCTGGAAAAAAGTGGGTTAGATAGCAACACCACCAGATGGATTCATAAGTGGCTGGCAAACTGTACTCAATGAGTAGTCCTTAATGGGTCTACATCTACATGGAAGTAAGCAGTGGGGTGCCACAAAGTTCCATCTTAGGGCCAGTACTCTTCAATATCTTCATAAATGACTTAGATGAGGGAATAGAAGAAGAATTTACCAAATTTGCAGATGATACTAAGCTGGCAGGAATAGCTAACACCTATAGGTTTAAGATCCAGCTGGGTCTTGATAGACTTGAACACTGAACCCTATCTAACATTGTGGGCTTCAGATAGAATGAAAGTGCAATACTGTGCTTGTAATTTTGTATGGAAGTATCCAGAGCTATAGAAAATAAAGATAATAACCAACA